CACCACTATTGATTTAGACTATGAAGAGCCTGAATCAAACTCATCAGATTGTGATCAAGACGAAAACTTGGAAGACATTCTAAATGAGCTTGAGTTATCAAACATTCCAGATGAAGATTATGAAGATTTGGAACAGTATTTCACACCACTGGACGATTCAGTTGATTTGACACCAATCCCAGAAAATCCAGATTTAGACTTGCATTTCCAACAACACATCACAGAACTCAGAGATGACCAATTATTGAATGAAAATGCAGACAGTAGCACCAATGAAATGACAACAGATTTTGATACACGTCAAAATTCAACAAACAACAATTCATCAATTATAGATAAAGCAGATATATCCTATGACAGAATTGCAGGTAGTTTTTGGATTTGAAAAATACAACCCACCAACATTACTTACAAGATATCCACCTCCTGCCACAGGAAGAGATGATGATATAGTTAAACTTAAGGAAGTACTGGATGACATACTAATTAAAACTGATAAAGTAGGCACTAATGCAGGCAAGTCGTACAGGATTCTTTTTGGTGCTGATAATAAAATTGGAGCTAATTTGCTTAAGCTGATGTCAATGTCTTCCAAATACAAAATTTTTATTCCTGAGTATCCCATTCTACATCTGAAGAAGTCTAAAATAAACAATATTTGTAGTGGTTATAAGCATGCTGGAATAATTCAAATATTGAAGTAAATGCGAGATGAGGAATACAATGAGTGAAAGAAACTAATATCTGCAGTTCACATTGAAAAGGCATCATAGTACATAAGAAGGCTTTCAATCGCTCTGAGAATTTCTGTTCAAGTAAAGTTTATCCAGACATTACAACAAGACCAGAGAAAAGAAGTACTGAGTGACTTCAACAAGAAACACACAACTGGAAGAAATGGGAATTGCTGAACAAAGACTTTCTTGCTAAAAGCAGAAGAGAAAATGCTACTTTCCTGCTTCATTATGAAATTATGAAATGATGGAACATTGTGAAGAAGTAAGTGCTCTTTCTCTTGCAGAACGCATTGGTGGTCATCAGGGATATAATTTGATGCTGGCATCAGTCAAGCTTTCTTTACCGTTTGCGTTTTTGAATGGTGCATCCTCATATGCTGCATATACAACACAGCTACTATATGAACATTGTAAGTTTGGCGTCTTCTACCAAAACATGAAAGAATACTTATTTACAGCACCTCACAAGGACAGTACATTGAACTTTGATTTGGATAACCAGAGAGAAATGGATCATCGGGATGCATTAAAGGCTTTTCGTTCAGGAGCAACCATGTCCTCTGTTCTGCCTAGAATGTCACTCATTGACTCCCTTAATGAGGCACGTGATCACAGTACAAAACACAAGAGATTACAGAAACAGGGACAATCATTGAATGACAATACTCTTGGGCTGGCTATGACTGACACAGATTTAAATTACATTTAAGAATTTCCAGTTTGATATTGCGCCAGGGTGGTTTGTCAACAAAGAAGGACGATAGAATTTTAAATGTTTATTTTCACCCATAAGGTGTCTTACCATAAGCTATATTAGATGCTAACACAATGGATGTGGATCAATTTCTAATATGGAAATTATATAAGCTCTCAAGGATTATTTAGCCTTTCAAAAGACGACTGCCCTGATGTAGAACAAATTAATGGACCTAAAGAAATTATTAAAAAACTTAAAACATCTAAAAGTACAACAATTCAACGCGTAGGGAAAAAACTGAAAGATGTAACAAAGAAGGAAAGGGACAAAAAAGAGATCCAAAGAAAGAAACTTGTAGCGAAACAGACAAAATTGGCAGATCAAAAAAGTTCAGAAATGAATGCATGTCAAGCAATATTGAAGCCTGATTGTTCTAAACCAAAAGTGCAAAAATCTACAGGTATGCAGAAAGCATTGCTTCACTTGTTAAAAGAAGCAATGGAAAAACTGGAAGAAGTTGATGGGCACGATGGGAATGGAGGCATAAATATGGACAAGTATTTCTTATTTGGACAAAAAACCTTACCAGCGTCTATTGTGACATTGATATCCCATGTTACGGTTGAATTTGCTGGTGTAAAATTCAAAACTCGGGCCCACGATGGAAAACATTATTTAAAGTTTGTTGAAGATTCCATTATAAATAAAACAATCAGCCTATTGCCAACAGTGATGCATATGGTAATATGTGAGGAAAAGTATAGCTTTACACCAGACCACTTCAAAGCAGCAACAAGAACTCAACGTCAAGTCAACAAACCATTGTTTCCTATTACACATTAGAAGACTAATGAAGAAATTTTAAGTTCCACAACCTTCGACAAAACATCTCTTGAGACAACCATGGAAGGTAAAAGCCTGAAAAGTACTTTCATAGCAAGAAACATCGAACAACTTAAATTCAAACGTGATATTATTATTGATATTGACAGCGAATACATCATGGAACATGAAACAGACTGTCCTTTAGGAGTACAATGTCATTGCCAAAAGTACACAACTTCAATTCGATACAAATTTGATCACTCACCATTATCCAGGAACAAAATTTAGAAACTCCCAAGCATAAAACAATGCAAAGGAGAAGCAGAAATGGCACAGGTGGATTGGCTGGTTGAATATGTCTCAGACATGGAAGAAGGTACAGCTTGTGCCAGTATAGTTACATCAGGAGACATTGATGCTGTTACAATACACATGTTTGCATTATGCCATTTATGGCCTAGAAACGATAACAGCAGTTACAAGCATCCAGTATACATTATACTACAAAAACCTGGAAGCACTATGGATATTTATAATATTACTGCTATTTTGGAACTGTTAGAAAAAAGGTGGAATGATTAATATTACCCAAATTTTATAACATTAGCCATTTGAATGTTGTTAATACTATAGTTGCTACAGATCATCTCTTTCAAAATTTAGTCAGAGTAGAGGAAAATGAAAAGGATCAACAAACATTTTTGAATGTCACTTTCAGTCAAGAATCATATAGAGAACTGATTAAGTTGTTATATTGTCCAAAGACACTTGATTCAACAATGCTGTCATTTGAGGAAATCAGACAACTAACTGCGAAAGCACCTACTGCTAAGAGCAGTGATCAACCTAGAAACTATGCACTGTGGATGCCAGCAGCAGCAGTCCTCAATAAATTATCATTAAACATTAATTGTCTAATCAAATATTATTTATCTGCTGGACAACACACAGCAATCTTGCCAAATTTTCTTCAAGACGGATGTCTTTTGAAATTACCAACGAGAGAAATTGAGTACAATCTTGGAAGTGACGCATCAGTTGATAGTGAGAGTGAAATTTTGATTTTCCCACCAAAAGAACTGGCCGCTAAATTGAAAAAATGTCAGTTAAAAAGAAAGAAACAGATTAATAAAAAAGTGGTATGAAAAGGAGACCAGAGGACACTCCACAAAAAGGAGCTAGGAAAAAAATCCAACAAACTTCTACACCAGAGAAGCAATAAAGAATGGTCAAGGACTAACATTACAATCAGAAATTTGATCAGTTGTGTTTTAGTTGACTTAGTTATTATAAGTATCTATTATGTATCTATATTTTTGAATACAATTTAGTCTGCGTTTATTAATCATTTTGTTCTGGTTTTATAGAAAAAATTGGGATGAAAATTATAACGCTCTTTTCACTTTCCCAACAATGATAATGTATTATGCTTAATTTGTAAATCTGGCAAGATATTTCATTAAAACCTTTATTTTAATCACAAATTAAAGAAATTCATATTTTCAATAAAAGAAAATACTGTTGAATTAAAAATATTGAGATAAAGATAATGTAAAGAGAAGAAATTAAAGGAAAATTATGCTTTATTTTAAGAGAAAAATGAAAGACAAATAATCGTCTGAATTTGCAATAGACCAATTATTCTGTAGGGTTCATGCTTGTAAACTCTGTAAAAATATATATTGAACTTTTATTAAAACAGATGATTTCCCCATTTTATAGATTAAGATACAAAGCTACCAATGTACAGTGTATATTATTATATAATTCAATATACTGCATTGTTTGAACATGTAAAAATATTTAATTTTTTATGCTTTATAATGTTAAAAAAGTCAAATCCAAAATCATTGTTTAACTGTTATAATCTGACATTATATATATAAATGAATAAATATTTAGATGTTTTATCATTTTCATTTTCTTTGTTATCAGGTACTAGTATCACTTTCATTGAAAGATAATTTGGATGTCATGAAGTGTGTGTGTGCACATGTTTGCATTCTTTCACTATCAAATGTCAGGAGTCGCTTAATTATAAATTATAGATTTTATTAGCATGGCAAGAAATAAAAACAAATCCAGTAGTTCATAACTGATAACAAATTTTTAGTTATAACAGGCTGTGTGTTAAAGTGTCTAAGATTTTTGTCTTTTTTTTTATATAAAATATGGAAATTCAGTTGTATTTAAGCAATTTCTTTTTTCTACCACGCCAATGTTAAGGGGTAAATTCAGTAAATAAATATACGTCATCAGGGACCGCCCATTTGGGGGAGAGCTTTCTGTACAAAACTAAAGTCCTGTGCTCTTCTGATTGGTAGATAATGTTTGTAATAAATATTTTTTGATAGATGGATCAAAACTAGAGTTAAAAAAATTAAAAAATGAATGCTGAATGTACTAAATTTTTTTACTACAGGGTTGAAAAGTAATGGGGGTCAGTAAAGGAATAAAGTGCGAATCTACAGTGTTTGTAAACAAGGCCATGTGAATGCCCAAAAATGCCGCATGACCCTATGTTTTTATTGTTGCAAAAGATAGGGCTACATTTGTACTTTCATGAATGATATATGAAATTTTCTAATTTCTAAAGGTAAATAAGGTATAAATTTAATTCAAGACATAGATTAGCATTAAAGTCAATGGGAGATTTTTACTGAATTTACCCCTATAGGTAACATACAAAACAAACCTACTATTTTGTCACGTAAAGGGAGAAAACTCTTTTCATTATTTTGATGAAACCACCACAAGGACGTCAATAGTGGTTTTAAATGTGAAAATCGTACAAAACAAACAGTGTAACGTGAAATGAACTGTATATTTCACAGTAGACCAAATTGTTTTTTTCTCAGAATGTTGACATTTCAGGAATAGCAGACATAGTTCTATTACATAGGACATTTGAAGTTGTCTCAAAGCTAAATAGAAAATATTTCATTCAATCTTCTTCCGGGTAAGTACATTTTTTATTCAATGGAATGTTATTCGAATTTCTAAAGAATCACCAGGGTTTAAATTCAAAAGAGAGTGGCAAGCTGAGGTTTGTATATGATTTTAATGCCTGATTTCTGTGGAATTTAACCTTTATTTGTCTAACCTAAATAAAACACGCCCTGACCGTAATAGCAATCGAAAAGAATCGGAATATATCGACCGAATTGATTTGGTTACTATGTGTCATCTTTGTATAATTACAATTATACCTTCGTATAATTACAATTATACATATACACATACACCATTATGTATATTAAAAATGGATATATCTACCAATACTTAAACACCAATGCATATAGTCTATATTTCATCAATGTATTTTTTTTAAAAATCAAATAGAAAACACATAAATCTTTTATTCGAGGGCACAATGTACTGAAAACCTTTTCGACAATGCAATTTAGCTTGCTATGCTGTATTGGTTTGCTCATTGCTGAAGCCGTACGGTGACCTATAGTTGCTAATTTCTGCATCATTTTGTCTCTAAAAAATGAAAACAACACGTTATAAATTTCATGCGTTCGAAGTGCTTGAGAGTGGAGGAACTACCGGTTCTGGCGACTTTTTGCTAATGTTAACCCTATGGGGAAAAGGTAGCCTCCTGAGAGGTAGCCTCCCGATGTGAGGCTAATTTCTATGACGTCATCATTAGGTATTACAACACTAATTAATTAAATTAATTAATTTCTATGGAGCTTAATTCATTATAAAGTGTTACTTATTACGTTTGTGTTAATGATAAGTATATGATCTTTTTTTTTTTCTTTAAATCTAATTGATGAAAATTCCCAGTCTATTAATAGATATACAGGAAAAACCCCGTCTAAGTGTGTATCAAAACAGACATACATTACATTGTATTATATGTCTCTGGTATTACATAATATTTATTCACCTACGGCTAAAGACGATTAAGCTGTGATAACATGATTATTAAATCAATATTGAAAGCGTGTTTAAACTTGTCCATTATTGTACGTAGTGACCTTTAACATGTTGATACGCGTCAATAACCCGCCATATTGAAAATATTGTGTATATGATCTTTTGAAATCATCAAATCGTTATATTATTGGAATTAAATAGTATTCTACATCTAAATATTTAAGGGATACAATTTTGAAATCTTGAATTTTATAATGTTAAATCATTTAAAGCGTGCGTTAACTTGTCATTGTTGTACGATAATTATAGCATGTTTAGACTTGTCAACAATCCGATTTTAATTAGTCGCCATGTTAAAAATATTACAAATATTTTATAAATTATTAAAGTTAATTTTATTATTAATTGAATCAAATGGTATTTTTCTTCCAAATATGAGATTTATAAAGTATTAAAAAATTGAAAACAACACGTTTAATAATTTCATGCGTCCGAAGCGCTTTTCTGGATTTATCTTCATCAGGAACGCTCAAAGCCAATTATTTGAAATCCGAGGGATGTATAAGTACCGAAACAGTTGAAGAGCTATATGACAAAAATACCTAAAACAAATAGCCAAATCCATCTAAGGTCAACTTTGCCTGAGGGAGTTGAAACCTTAGTTTCTGTATAATTTGATGGGTAATTATGCAAATAATTGGGGAAGCCCATCATCATAGATACTATTTTTGGTCATTTTATATTTAAATATTAATTAGGATGCAAATGTGTCAGTTATTTTCAGAAGGGGAAAACACCCGCCATATTTTTATCTTCCAAAACAACGAAGTCACTTGCCATTTTCAGAAGCTCGTTTTTTTGTAAAATAAAATCTTCTCAGAAGAAAAAATAGTAAATGTTAATGGTTTGATGATAAATACTGTTATAATGAAAAGTTAAATCACAAAAATACTGAACTCCGAGTAAAATTCAAAACAGAAAGTCCCTAATCAAATGGCAAAATCAAAAGCACAAACACATCAAACGAATGGACAACAACTGTCATATTCCTGACTTGGTACAGACATTTTCTTCTGTAGAAAATGGTGAATTGAACCTGGTTTTATAACGATAAAACTCTCACTTGTATGACAGTCGCATCAAATTCCATTATATTGACAACAATGCGTGAATAAAACAAACAGACATAATAGGTTAAAATGTCAAAATAAGGGCACAGCAGTCAACACCGTGTCACAATCTTAATCACAACAAAAACAAACAAATATTTAACAAAAAAGCACAAAAAAGCATATATCTCATATTGTCTATTGTTTAATATCCTACCCGTTACAAAACATAAACTTTATAATTTCCTCGAAAATATTCACTTTTAAACTGAAATCCTCTTATTATAAAATTCTTAATTGATAATATATGATAAATCAACACCCTCTGTATCCTCATTGACCTGATGTTTTTATGTTCACGAGCGAATGTAAATATTTATATTAATGTAAACATATCCAGTTGCGATATTTCCTGTATTTATATCTTCTTCTTCTTTTTATTATCGATCGAAAAAATTTGCCGGATTCGAAGTTAACCAATCAAATTACGTTAATTGGGGATTTCCACAAGGTATCGACAGTTAGCTATAAAACACTGAAAATCTAATCATTTACCATTGTTATCGCGACTATTAAAAGGAAAAGTCACACAAAATATTTTCTTAATCTTCTAAAGTAAAATAAAGGTATTGTATCATTGTGTATGCTTGATTACCAATTTTTAAACTACTTTAAACATTTAGTTAAGGCTTATATTGCTACAATAATAATCATCTTGCTTATTATTTTTTTTTCTTTAAATACATTACCAATTTATTTTACGATTAATTATTATTAACAAATGAATGGAATAGATATATGCTTATCTTCAAAATAATGGAAAAAAGGGGGGAGGCTTTATTTCAATTTTAACTTCTCGAAAGTTTGAAGTAGTCTCCTGTACTGGTAAGGTGTACTGACTTAGGGTAGTGTCATTTAGCTTACAATGGAGTGGAAGTGTCATGTGGCATGCCCCGCTATAGTCAGGAAGACCTCTCCGACCAAAACCTTTGCAGTCTTGCTTAACTGCGAGAGCAGCTCTGTTTCAAGTGATGGAAATGTTGACGAGCGGTGACTACTTTGGCGAAAGCCTTAGTCAAACATTCTTGAATTTCAATCAGATCGTTATTCATATCAGTATCAAGACTGGGAACCCATACGGTCGGTAGACTGAGGAGTTGTTTTTTCGACCGGTGGGCGAGTACCAGTGGCGATAGGCTCCTTTGATATGAATAATGACTGGTTGTCCGAATCATATTATGATGAATAATTAAAATAAAAACAAAAATGCTTTAACAATACTGAGCACACTTTCACTTTTCAGAAAAAGATGGAACCAGCATCGAAAAAAATTAAGATGGCAAAATCTGCAATCAAATGTGGTGTATGCGGAAAATCGTTTTCCCATAAAGAGAGTTTAATGCGCCATAAGAAATCGGTTCATACTGGAACGAAATGGCATTGCGCCACCTGCGATGTGGTATTTTCAAGTAAAGACAACTTCCAACGTCATAAACGAAACCATGATAAGCAACCACTCCAAAATGGTGGTGGTGTTACCATGACTAGTACTGAAACACATGAAAAAACGGATCCATGCAACTTCAAAGCGCTCAATGGAACCGTTGAAACACATACTATCGATGCAAAAGGATTGGATAAATTCGAACCGATGTCATTCCTGAAAAGCCAGTATGATGATGTTAAAGATGTTATCAAGCGTAAAATTAAAGAAAGAGGTGGATTGAAGTGGTATCTATACATGAAGGTTAAAATGAGCAGGCGAAAAGTAGATAATATAGAAACAGCAGAGCCACATTTCCGGGGAAAATGCCAGACCAGTTTAAAATTGGAGGATATAGATGAAGGATTGAAGGAATCTATCAAAAAGATGTATACGTCCTTCATTGAATATCAGAGACAAGGGAGTAATTGGACGGCGGATAAAGTGGTAGATCTTATCATACACATGGCACGGTACAGACCACTAAAAGGATCAGGTTATATTCCACTTCCAATCAAACTCAGATCTAACATGCAATAGTTAATGTAAAAAACAATGACAACAAATGTTTTATGTGGTCAATTCTGGTTGCAATGTACCCAGCGAAACGTGATGGAGAGCGGGTTTGGAAGTACAAGGAACACGTATCTAGCTTGAACTGAAAACATCATGTTTCCTGTGAAATTGGCCGACATTCCAAAGTTCGAAAAACAGGACGAAATATCAATTAATGTCTTTGGATTCGATAAGGGTGATGTATTCCCTATACATGTTACGAAGCATCGATATGAACAACATGCAAATCTACTCATGATATCAGATAGCAAAAAATCACATTTCTGCTGGATTAAAAATCTAAATCGACTATTGGGCGATCAAAAGTCTTCTGAACATAAGCATTTTTACTGTCCAAACTGCTTACATGGATTTAAGAAAGAATATTAAACAACCATCTACCAAACTGCCAGACCCACGGACCACAGAAAATCGAACTTCCTACTGAAGAAAATAAGTGGTTATATTACAAAGATATTCGGAAACAGCTCAAGGTACCATATATCATATATGCAGATTTTGAATGTCTTCAAGAACCAATACTAGATAGCAACGAGTGTGATCAAAAGACGAGCAAGACTACCAAACTCATACCATGTGGCTTTGCTTACAAAGTGGTAGGTTTAACACCTGAAACTTCGAATGAACCAGTAGTATATCGCGGTGCCGATGCTGCCGATAAATTTGTGGAGTGTATGGTAAAGAAACAGGAAGAAATAGAACAATGATTCAAACATTGCGAGCCCATGATCATGACTGGGAGTGATTGGCAATCGTTTAAGAAGGGAACTCATTGTCACATATGTAAAACAGAACTAGCCGAAAAAAGAGTGAGGGATCATTGTCACGTGACCGGAAAATTTTGCGGGACGGCTCATAACGACTGTAATATCAATTATAAGTTTGCGGGTCGAGTTGTATTTC